TATTTTTCGTCGCCCACAGTGATAAAAATGGTCAGTGGTGAGCAAATTGCGCAGTGATATGCAGCCGTAGGGATCCCAAGTGTTGCTTGGAGTCGAGGCATTGAATGCTAGATGCAGGCAGCCCGCAAACCAAAGAACCGTGGAGACTCCACTGCTGTGCCATGCCTTATAAGTTCTTCCAGTATCATTTTGTCGAATCCCGACACCGCAATCCTGAAGGAACGCTTGTATCACACCATCCCTCCATTAATTCATCGGCTGGGTACTACGATCTTTCGAGTAACAAGCCGCAGTGTCGGCTAAATATATAGGCTAAGGTAGACAATAGACAGATGGTCAGGGATATCACCAGGAAGTTTCAGTGATGTCGCCATTCTTGAGAGCTGCTTCACACTCACCGATCCCCAAAGTTGACTAGCCTCAGTGCACATTCATTATGTCTCTGATCCAGACTGCGACACTGATCGCGTTACAACGGTTTACATTCTATTCCTGTTATTATTGTGCAACTTACACCCCACCGTCTCCTCACGGACATAACTGCATCTCAGATGTTGGCTATTGATTGATATTGTTGCAGGGAGATAGCTTACCCTCAGCGTTCGAGCCGAGAACAGTGGCGCAAGTGTGGATCGATCTACAATTGGAGATCGAACTGGAGTAGAGATGAAAACGCGAATCAATGTGGGGTCAGCGGCAAGTTGATTCCTGAACTTGAACAGCTTGAGTTGTGTTAATTAGCATTAATTAACATTTCCAATAGCGTTGTGTTAGTAGTTGCCTTCAAGCTATTTATTGCGCTATGCTCTCAAACACTACGAATCCCTCAGTCTGGTTGATCTTGGCGTTCTCATTTCGTTGCGGGTTGAACCGGTTGGAGGCTGCACAACAGATTCTGGTAGGCTATTCGTCCAGTCAGTGGAAACCACAACAGATTTCTAGCGATGGAGGTGGGATTTGTACAACGACCTATGGATGCCAACGGTGACCGGACCTCCCAATTGGACGCAATAAACAGGCAATGACGGCACCAGCTAGATATGCGGCGCGTTTGGAAACGATTTCGCAAACAATGCACTATTTTGCTGTCTATCGGTTCGACAATTGGCACCAATAAATCTTCGAGAAGCATATAGTTGGTGCTGTAGTACATATGAGGAGGGTTCCATTCAGTTCCGATTAAATACTTTGTCAATACGGCATCATTAAGGAGCAGTTTGTCACGAATCTGACCTCGAAAATGCAAATGTTGTTGGACCAAGTACACCAGTACGTGCATCACTATTTCACCCACGTACATTTCCGAAACCATCTTCTCAAACACTCGCTTTCCCGGATGCAAGCTCTCCGCGTCAAATGATTTGTCAAAGGATGTACGCAAATTCTCAACTTCGTCACATTCTACAAATGCACCCCATTCTGTGTTAATAACCACGCAGCAGATATTGGATGCGTTTCTAATTAGGTACAGTACGACACCGAATCCCCATGGCCCCAATCAGCTTTCACCAGCAGAAGCGTTAATGTGACCAGAGCTCCACGCAATGAACGCGTCATTGATTCCGAAGCACGATACCCCGCAAGCAAGAAATTTGAGAATGGAGGACTACGATACTAATTAACGAAGTAGTTGATTATTATTGTACTCCTCCCTTCTCAGATTTCTTGCTTGCGGGGTATCGTGCTCCGGTATGAATGACCCGTTCATTATGGAAGCTCTGGTCACATTAACGCTTCTGTTGGTGAAAACTGATTGGGGATTCGGTGTCGTTCTGTACCTAATTAGAAACGCATCCAATATCTGCTGCGTGGTTATTAATACTGAATGGGGTGCTTTTGTAGAATGCATATGGATAAGCACAAGCAGTCGAGCGCTACCGCTGGATATCCTGAAGGACAGTTTCGATATACCAGTCAGTACACAGAACGCTCCTGAAGCAGGTTGCACGACCGTCCCAGAAGAGTGGATTATGCAACCACGACGATGCTCTGATCGGGCACGGAAAATCGCGATCAGAATGCAGCTGGACCCGAGACGGAGGTCGTACGTCAATTTGCGTGAGGTAGGACTTACCGGCAGATAGTTAATACTCAGTGTTCAAGCCGAGATCAGTGGCTTAAGAGTGGAGTGGATCGAAGTGGAGTAGAGATGAGAAGGCGAATCTATATGGGATCAGCGGCAAGTTGGACCTTGAAATTGAACCCATTATGTTGTGTTAATTAACCTTACTTAACATCCCCAATATTGTTTTGTGTTAGTAATTGTCCCCAAACTATGTATTGCTCTATACTCATACAGTACAAATCCCTCGATTCGGCTGGTCATGGCGTTCTCATTTCGTTGCAGATTGAACTGGTTGGGGGCGGCGCATCTGATTCTTGCAGGTTATTCGTACAGTCAGCGGAAACCACAACAGATATCTCCGGTGTGGCTGTCTTTGCTGCGAATGCTGACAAGGTGTTTACCTGTCGAAATACCGCTCCAGATGAGAGTTGGTCGTGGCTTGGGGAGACGGAGTGCACGGTACTGGTGATCCACAAATTAGTTAGACAGGAATGCTGCTGCCGTGTACGCTGAAGGAGTGTGGCCCGACTCCGTTGATGAAACGTGACTCCCATCCGCGTGCCTTTCGATCTGTTTCATTCGCTTCCATCCGCATGCCCCCCGGTCTTATTACTCCGGGTTTACACTGGATATGGGTGTGTGTGTTGGAGCTGTGGGTGGTGCACTGCACGCCACTCATGATCCCCCTGTAGGCACAGTCATATTTTGGCTCCTCCCGTAAGGGCCACAGTGACGAGCAAATCCAGATACGGAGGCCACCAACCATACGTTAACCTGGTCCAGATCGTTCTGGAGTTAGCTACGGTCGATGCTCAACGAATTGCTCTCCGGAACTTACCACCATATGCTAATATACGGGAGGTGATTTTTCTAATGTACAAAGAGTAGCGTGTCGAGGACGGATCATTGCGGTACACCACTGGATACCCACAGGCATTCTGACTGGGTGCTGGCTATTCGTACCTTGATGATTCTATCTGGTAGGTAATCATCCAATCAGGTGAACTGGTAACCCTTAATACCATTGGTAACAAATCTTTGTAGGAGAGCGATATAATTGACCTACTGGATTGAATGACCTACATAAATCTAAGTAAAATACGTCTGTGGGGATTCCTTCATCAACTGATCTGTTCCATGAATCCCGGGCAAGGAGCAGATTGGTGAGGCAAGATCGTATGCGTGAGAAATCATGTTAGGCTTCGGAAATTACTTGCAGACTGTCAAAATATCGCATCAGTAGATCTGCGATTACCGATTCCATCAATTGAGATAAAACGGGTAGGAGAGTAATAGGTCGGTAGTTAGCAGGATCTGGTCTCTTACCTCCTTTGTATAGGGAGATGATGATGCCACGTTTCCACTCAGATGGGAGTGTATGGGAGTCGAAAGGACCCTGGAACAACGCTGCATGAAGTACTGATGTGGTGGAAGGAAGAGTTTTAATAACCTTTGGGCAGATCTTGTCTATTCCCGAGGCACTGTCTTCCCGGAGCTACTGTAATTTGTTCACGACAACCTCTGGAGTAAAGCTGACACTGGATAATCCGACGGTATTTGTTGGGAGTTGCTAGAGCAAAGGTTCCATGGTATTTGTAGCCACCGAGCCAAACTGCAGGAGTAGAGCGTTCGCGGTATCCACAGCAGTAGTGGTTAAGCCACTGGTCATCATGAGTGGTGGTATTCCATTTTAACCTTCCTTTCCTCGTCCAAATACCTGTATGGCATTTTCTTGTTCCTCGCGAACTCGAATAGCATATTATCCTGATCTTTGTACTTGTCTGCCCTAGTAATTGACATGCCGTAATTTGTGGTTGTTTTCTAATTCTGCCATGTGGTATCACATGGGCTCAGCATGTGCTGCACCCAAATCTCATCTCTTCTGTTGATCCATTTAAGTGTCCTTATTTGGATCTAATTTTGGTCTTACGTGATATTCGTAATGGTACAAGTTTTGAGGCTGCTCGTATGACCCAGTTAACTCTACCTTTCAATTCAATCCACGCGTCTTTCAACGAAATGTGTGTCTGTAGCCCCAGACAGCAGTAGTCGCTTGGTTTTGCAGATTGGGATACTCAGTAATAGTTCCCTGGGTTTCACGTTCTTCATCAACCATGCTGACGTACCAGGTTGAGCCTCCTTAGAAGCAGAGGTTCGAGCACCTTGGAATAAACACAGATGAGACTAATCCCTCTGTGGTTGGCGCAGTCAGTTAGGGTACCCTTACTGAAGATGGTCACGATATCCCCTAGGCTCCAATCAGATGGGATAATTTCAGTGACCAGATCTATTGGAGGAGGGAAATTATCTCCTGCATATGTAATGGGCCGACATGTTTGTATTGAGCTGCAGGGAGTTCATCTGAGCCAGTGGCATTGTAGCGCTTTAAGAGGCGAAGCTCGTGAACACCCTCAGCCTCGGATGGTGGTGAATCGTCCACACACCAGGGAGAGCGCCGGGCTCGAGAATGGGAACTCATTGGTGCTGCTGGCTAATTCAACTGCTGCTCAACGTGCTCAGCCCAACGCTCGAGTCGGCGTTATTGACAGTGGATTAGCTCGTCATGCACACTCGCCTACCGTAATCGACGTCGGGAGTGCGACTGGAACAAAGAATGCGTGCATTATTCGCCCTTTACCTCACGTGACCAGCCGAGGGCAGCGTACGTTTGCAACAACTGAACTCAATGGAACTTATTCCACCTAACCGCAAATGTTGTAATCAGAAGTGTGCACGCTCAGTTAAACGAGACATTATTTGTGAATTATGCGGCCTTCCGTTCCTCTTCCTCTGTTCTGGTTTAAGTCAACTACAATACAAGAGACAAGTCAACCTGACTGAAGTGCTCTGGTTTCGCCAAACGTGCAGAGTAATCCGAACATTCAAATGTATAATATGGCTCGAGAAAAAGTGTGGAAAGCTGACTGAAACAGTTCGGCGGATGGCGAGGTTTTGACCTTTACTATTAGCTTCTAACCACATGGATGTTGCTCTACAGCATACCCGTCAGAGCTCTGTCCTTAAGTCAAAGGCTAAAGTCAGGCTGGCTAACTGTTTGACGGCATCCGCGTCACCTACTCGGACAATTACTAATCCTTTAAGTTGGCAAGCCACATCCAGCGTGACTGCTATTAACTCATCCCTAGATGCCATATCTTACGAGTTCGTCTCAACACTAACACCGAGAACCCAGAGCCGGGTAACATACGCAGCGACCGCCTCGATAAAAGCGCTTCAAGAGACACACATACGTCTACTTTCTGGGACAAGCACGAGCAATGCGACGCCATCTTCACAACGTTTTTAATGTCTGCCAAACAATCCAACTTGCAAGTCACAACACTCAAACCGACATTCGCTAAACAGAACCACAGTGCGTTAACGGTCGTGTGCACTAACGTTCCTGAGTCCAGTTCTGGCACAATAAAGTGCAAGTTGGCAGATGATCACCGACACGGTGCCATTCCATCTGCGATGCGATTGGTATTCGGGTTGAGTCAACTGGGCTCCGACGCAAAGCGCGTCACCTAAATTCAGTGCACTACGGAGAACCCAGGTTCCTTGGAGTAACCTTTAAGTCAAGTGAGGCGACAGAGACAATCCTACTCTCAGCAGTTCGGCTTCGCAACCCATCGAGCGGGGTACGCAAACTACCCTATATGCCTTGTAAAGGACGCTCAAAGGAAAAATAACCATGGCGGCCCTTCTGCGAACGAAAGCAAAAAACCGTGTTGTTCGTGCTGTTCCTGGACTACTGGGCTCTCCTGAGCACGAAGCGCAAAATATGACCGACAGCAATGGTGGTACATCCGCGAAGCACTCTCTCTGAACCACGTTATCGCTTAACCACTAACCAGAATTCCTTCACCTCCAAACTACAAGGGCTGCGGCCCAAAAAATATTGAAAGCCATGCTAAACTCCGACGGAATGACAGAAGTCCTATTGGATTGCTAGTTGAAGCATCCCTTCAAGTTGCCTACGGAAATTAGGCTAAAGATTGCAGGCGCATGGTAACTAGTGTTCGTTACTTCATTGGAATATGCCACCTAAGTGAAATATTTGCCTCTACAATTCTGCAGAGTTGTAGACGAGATGGCATTAGGGACACCTTACGGGACAGGAAGACACACGAGAAAACCTCTCGATCTTGTATGCACCATGCTACGATGCAGCGTGCCTGAAATTCCAAAACCAAAGACCCACGAAAAAACGATTAGCGTTCAAAAGACGTACGGTCGGCTTATAACTACACAACACTTTGTTGCCCACCCACATACTTCTAACCTCAAATTTTTTGTATACTAACGCCTAAGGTCATCTTAGTAAGTAGACCGAACTTAGAGAATGCCAGGCGCCACAACCGCGGGATCTCATTACGATTATGGAGATCTGGTTAAGCCTTGAGATGGTAGATGCTGAAGTCAATTTATCGGGTGGTGTAATTCTGGATTACAAGGCTAACCTCCGAGGTGAAGTTATTGACTACCCAGAGATCCGTGCCCAAGATTTGTTTTGGTGCCGGCTATGGTTACGGAACA